TTTGCCAATATCGCCCAACCCTACTAACCTCAAGTCTCGCTGTTTAAATCTGTAGCTCCGTGTGTTTACAGCTCAAAAAACACAAGTCCAGTTGCTTCGTCTTTTTACTTTTCATTTTCCACGTAGATAGTTTGATAATAACGATGTCCAGCCTGGGTCGCGGAGAGTATCGATCCTAAAGTTAGCTACTTGGTCGATACTTTTTTCCAGCTCGTAGTTTCGTTCAAAAAACAAAAAAAGCTTCACTGGAGCATCCCGGTCAGAGGCAGCTTCAGATATAAACACTGAACTAAAAAAGCATGACAGATAATTATTTAATCGGCTCTGATTAAACAAAAACTTCTGATTCGATGTGCAAAATGTAGCATCCATGCTAGCTCTGTAAACAAACAAGCCGGCTGATGAGACGTCACGTCTTTTACTGCGCATGCGTGTCACATCAGTGCTGTGGAGCGTTCACACAGGGGTCTGATGCAGGTCACATTTAAAATGTAATGTGAACGTTCACACAAAAAGATTGGATTTTTTCAAAAAATCAGAACTGAGCATTAAGACTTGCAGTGTGAACGTAGCCTATAAGTCATATCACTTGTCTCCTTAATGAGCCTAAAATTTGATACATGATTGAAGTAGCACAAAGTGTGTGCAAGTAGTTAAATTTCACTTAACGTACGAAAAAACAGGTAAACATTACTCTGAATGCTGATTCAGCATTCAACAAATCATTTAGATTTAAAGTGTAAAAGTGTTGTGAACTTTTGTTTGTAATCAGAACTTTCTTCATATAAGTCATCACTTTTCATGTCACTCTAACAGAGTTCAGCGTTTTCCAGTATGGTGCAGGACCAGGGCGTGGCCACCATGTTTGAACTCTCCGTGCCGTTTCGCCAGCAGCACTTCTTGTCCGGGCTGCTGCTCAGTGAGCTCTCTCTCATTCTCGATCCTGAAGGCGAAGGGTGGGTTCTTTGTGTAAATTTCCTAACTCTGTTTAACCTAAAACATAAAGAAACTTCAAGCATCCTGTGAGAACTACAGCAGAAACGACTGACAAACGTATATTATTACCTTCAGGGTTTTCTTCCTCCATAAGAAGGCCATCAGCGCCRTCCACTCTCTACTGTGCAGCCACGATGCGGACCCCCGCTACAAGGACTCTCAGGTCAGAGCTCACCTGGCTAAGCTCTACCTGCCGCTCGTCCCCATCGTCATGGAGACGCTGCATCAGCTCCACGACTTCTGTGGTCAGTAGAGTTCCGTGTTAGTTTTCTTACACACGAGTATTTCAGTTGCAGCGGCGTGGAACACCTGACAGTCCTCKTCTCGTTTCTTTGTAGACTCGTCTGCCCGCGTCCGTCTTGCCGTCACCGTCGCTGAAGATGCTGACACAGACAGCAACATTATTAGTCAGTCTGTTGCCATGGCAATCGCAGGCTCTCCTTTGCCGCATGCCAAAGCAAACCCGTTTTTGCTCCCCTCAGTGGTAAGTGATAGCAGCAAGGGTCAAYGTGTTCTCCTGGGCCCTACAGGCTGATGGGTCAGAGATGGGTCTCTGTGTCAAACCAAGCTGCTTCWRTTTCTTCTTTTAATGTTTTGTTTTTCGTTTGAAGGTTGTTTGCTCGTTTTGTCCTGCATGTGGCTCTCTGTGTCCTTTTATCTTCTTAAGATGATCTGATCTTTCGCTTCTGTTTTCACCCTCACCAGGCCACTCGGCARTCCAGCTCTCTGTCTGCTGAGTGCAGCCGGACCCTGCTGGTGTGTTTCCTGTGGGTGCTGAAGAACGCAGAYGCAGCTCTCCTGGAGCGCTGGGTTTCTGATTTGTCTGTACTACAAATCAACCGTTTGTTGGACCTGCTTCATCTCTGTGTCTCCTGCTTTGAATACAAGGTACAATAACCAGGAACTTTCAACACGTTTAGGAGCTTTTTTATTATTCCTCTCATGTAGTAGTGAAAGGCAGGAGAATTCCTGCAATAAACAGGAGTTGAAATCTATTTCAAAAACCARAGTTGTATAAAGTAGCACAAAGTGATACTTGAGTAAAAGTACAAGTATCTTACCAAAAAATTACTTTGGTAAAAGTTAAAGTTTCCTTTAGGAATATTACTTGCGTAAAAGTCTTAAAATATTTGATATGTTTTGTACTTAAGTATTAAAAGTAAAAGTATTTATTTAAAATGAGCAGTTAGATTTTCTGTAATGACATTTATAAGGAGGTGACCTCCCCAAAAAACTGCAGAAATGACTGTTGTATTAAAATAATTAATTGATGTTAAATTTAGGATGCACTAGTCCAGCTGTTTCAGTTTATATACATATATCAAGGCTGCTCAAACCTTTTCCCCAAAATGAAAATCTATCTGAGGGCTGCAGCCAAATGCAATAATATAATTCATGAAATACAAATAGTCCTTTTATTTTAATGATTATGTCCTGCCGAAATGTGACATGATTTGTTTGTGTACAAACTAATAAGGTATCAGAGTTTTATATACTGTATTTGTACTTCTCACTCAACCACAGTTAAAGTCACTCTATCTAGGAGGCAGGAAGGAAGAAGTATTTGTACTTAGTTACTTTACAACTCTGTCAAAAGCATTTAATTTGTCGTCATGCTGGGATATTTACAGGATCTTAAAAAGTGTTAAATTTAATAATTTCTGTTTTAGGCCTTAAAAGTCTAGATTAGTCTAACTAAATTTAAAATAAAGTATAAAGATTATTTGTTACAGAAATAAACTAAGTTTTGACTGTTTGTTTGCTGMTGCTAGAGTTTTGTTACAAAGTTGGTTAGAATTTCATTGGAATTTTTGTTTTATAAAATCTGTAAGAAAGATGTTGATTTGATTTTGATAATGTATGAATAAAAAGTGAAGGTATAAAAAGCTCAGGCTTCTACCTACACTTTTTGCCTTGTCTTTTTGACACTGACAGGAATTTAAAGATTGTGTATTACCTTATTTCTGTATTTTTTTATTTCTGTAGTTGTTCAGATGAACTGGTTTTGGTGATTTTTTTATATTCAAACAATAAACACTGACTTTATACTTTATTTTCCAATTTAGCATCTAAATTACATTTAGTTCCATCATAAATTTATACGCTCTCATACGTAAACACCAGATGTTTAACAAAACCTGATTGGTCCAGATGTTTTCCACGGTTGAATTGCTGTTCACAGCTATGCATCACAAACTGGGATTTCCTGCTGGAAATGTGTTCTCGTGGCGTGAAATTCAAGGATTTCCAGTTAAATCAGCTTGAAAACGCATGAATCTGTCACTATACGAACTGTACATTTCTTCTGCCTGATTGTGAACAACATCTTTTCAGGGGAGGAAAGCTCTGGAAAGGATCAACAGCCTGACCTTTAAAAAGTCTCAGGACATGAAGGCCCGCCTGGAGGAAGCTATCCTGGGTACTATAGGAGCCCGACAGGAGATGGTCCGCCGCTGTAAAGGTAAATAGACCGAAGACACAATATTATAGCTTTAAATTTTCCAATTTGTTCACTGAAACTTTTTTATTCTTACAGAGAGAGGTCCTTATGGCACCCAGGAGAATGTCAGGTGGAGGAAAAATGTCACTCACTGGAAACAAAACACAGACAAAGTTGACAAGTATGTCCTGTTATTGCACCAGAGTCATTGCTAACTTCTGGTATTCTGTTTTTATATATGAAAAAYGAGGATGATGATTGTAAATATGATCTTCCAGGAGTAAGGCTGAGATGGAGCAGGAGTCTGTGGTGGATGGAAATCTGGCCACTGAGGCCTCACTGATCGTCCTGGACACGTTAGAGATTATAGTAAAGGTAAAAAAAATCCCTCAGGATTGCTCATTTTATGTTGATTTTATTTTCTGAAGTTTCTGTCCTCTTTCAGACTGTGGTTGCGTCYGAACTGAAAGAAAGTGTTTTAGGCGGGGTTCTGCGAGTTCTTCTCCACAGCATGGCAGGCAACCAGAGCGCCCTCTTCCTGCAGCATTGCTTCACTACACAGAGGGCTCTTGTTTTCAAGGCAAGAACGCTTCCTGTTGGTGGACAGTTGATTTATTCAGTGTTGATTTATTATTTTTTCACAAAACTTTTTTCCTGAACTTTCAAATTACAAAAAATAAAAAAAGTTGTATTGATTTTAGATTTTTTTTGACATCACTTCTAGGTAAATGTTATTAAAAACGTCTGTTGTGTGCAGTTCCCAGAGATGCTCTTTGAGGAAGACACGGAGCTTTGTGCAGATTTGTGCCTCCGCCTCCTCCGCCACTGCAGCAGCAGCGTCGGTCCGGTCAGGAGTCACGCCTCGGCTTCTCTTTACCTGCTCATGAGGCAGAACTTTGAGATCGGAAATGTACGTTTGAAATGTTCTGCTAAATAGCTTTGTGTTGTTTCTCTAACATCATAACTCTACCAGTCATGTAGTTTATTTTCCTTTTTGTATCAGAACTTCGCTCGAGTAAAGATGCAGGTCACCATGTCTCTGTCCTCACTGGTGGGAATGTCACAGAACTTTAATGAAGAGCATCTTCGTCGGTCGTTAAAGACCATCCTGACATACGCCGAAGAAGACCTCGAGCTGCGGGACACACCTTTCCCAGAGCAGGTAGGTGACCGCTAAGACTGTGTCAGGCTGTTTTTTCTAAATTGCTCAAATGGAAAAATGTGATAATGTGATGTTTATGCAGGTCCAGGATCTGGTCTTCAACCTGCACATGATTCTTACTGACACTGTTAAGATGAAAGAGCATCAGCAGGATCCTGAAATGCTCATCGACTTGATGTACAGGTAATAAAATGCTCGTGAATGAGGCAGATGAACAGAGAAAGCGTTGAATAAAACTCTTGTTTGTTTCAGGATTGCCAAAGGCTACCAGAACTCTCCTGACCTGCGCCTGACCTGGCTTCAGAACATGGCAGGGAAACACTCGGAGCGAGGAAACCACGCCGAGGCGGCCCACTGTCTGGTCCACAGCGCTGCRCTGGTGGCAGAATACCTCAACATGCTGGAGGACTGCCGCTACCTGCCTATTGGTTGTGTCACATTTCAGGTCAGTTCGAGCAGCTCAGTTCAGTAATTCGTAGATAATTATGTCAACTGAACAACCATTTTTACATTCCAATTTCTCTTGTTTCTCTCCCAGAATATCTCCTCTAATGTGTTGGAGGAGTCAGCCATATCTGATGACATTTTGTCTCCGGAGGAGGAAGGCATTTGTGCCGGGAAGTATTTCAGCGAGTCAGGTCTTGTGGGCCTCATGGAGCAAGCAGCTGCCTCTTTTAACATGGTACGACTCACATTCTCTGACTCTGCTGTGACCGGCGGCGTGCGGTCAGATGTGGCAAGGTTACAGCCTTAACACGGCTGAAAAACATTAGTGTAAGAAGTTATTTCATTATATTTTCACTGCAGGCGGCCATGTATGAGGCTATAAATGAAGTCTACAAGATTCTGCTGCCCATCCATGAAGCCAACAGAGACTTTAAAAAGTTGTCAACTGTCCACGGGAAGCTGCAGGATGCTTTCAACAAAGTCTACAACCAAGTTAGTCAACAGGATCACTTAAAAATAAAACTAAAATCTTCAYTTTATCTTGTTTCTAATGTTTGTCTTCTCATGTCTGAATGTTTCAGAGTTCAGGATGGGAGGTAACAAGTTCATTACTTATATTCAGTTTAAAATCAGATAAATACTGTGGTGTTTTCTCCTTTTGTATTGACTTTTTTATATTTTCTTTTTTCTATTTCTACGTGGATGACGTGTTAATGGTGAGTGAAAACTCAACAGTTTCCTTCCTTTTTTTGGATTTTATTTTATTTTTTTGTTCAAAACTGTTTTGCACTTTTTGCATGCTTTCATGATCAAGATTTTATATCCAAAATCTGCTTAATTGTCCTCAAATTAAACGGCAACATAAATGTAGTTTTCCCATCTCTACCAGCTGATTTCACTCATTTCAATTYATKTATTTTTTWTCCTTCCACAGTCTTTAGAGAATGTTTGGGACGTACTTCCGTGTTGGTTTTTATGGTTGCCAGTTTGGAGACTTGGACGAGCAGGAGTTTGTCTACAAGGAGCCTTCCATCACCAAATTAGCTGAAATCTCCCACAGGCTTGAGGCAAGTTGATGTATTTTGATGCTAATAAAAGTGTTCTTAGAGATTTATGAGGAACGTCTACCTGAATATATGTTTCTTTGTTGATCAGGAGTTCTATTCAGTGAAGTTTGGTGATGATGTAGTGGAAATTATCAAGGACTCCAACCCAGTGGATAAAAGCAAACTGGATCCTAGTAAGGTAAGAAAACATCTTTATTTTTGTTTTACACGTAATTTCTAGACTATAAGCACAGAGTATAAGTTGCAGGATGAGCCAAATTATGAAAAAGAGTGGGACATATTCCAGAAAATACGGTAATAATGTAAAAAAAATGTCTACCCGTACTCTCACAGGCCTACCTCCAGATCACCTATGTCGAGCCTTTCTTCGACACATATGAGCTAAAAGAAAGAATCACYTACTTTGATAAGAACTACAACCTGCGCACCTTCATGTACTGCACCCCCTTCACGCTGGACGGCCGGGCTCACGGAGACCTGCACGAGCAGTACAAACGTAAAACCATCCTTACCACGTCTCACGCCTTCCCCTACATAAAGACCCGCATCAACGTGATCCACAAGGAGGAGGTCGGTGTCTGTTTCCAAACWATCAGATGTTTATAATAAAACACTCTGAGTAATGCCACTTTTGTTTTTGCTTTCACAGATTATCCTTGTGCCCATGGAGGTGGCAATCGAAGACATGCAGAAGAAGACCCAGGAGCTGGCTTTTGCCACGAATCAAGACCCTGCAGACTCTAAGATGCTTCAGATGGTGCTGCAGGGCTGCGTGGGCACGACTGTCAACCAGGTGCCTGATTGGATTTATAGCCTTTATTTGTTTAAAACTTCAAAAGCAAACCTWCTCAAGTTCCCATTAAAACCAGGCTTCAGTTCTGGGCCAGTTTTTATACATTCCTCAGCCAGTATGTAACAGCTTCTCCCCTTGCACAGGGTCCCCTTGAAGTGGCGCAGGTCTTTCTTTCGGAGATTCCCGATGATCCAAAGCTGTTTCGCCATCACAACAAACTGCGTCTTTGCTTTAAAGACTTCACAAAGAGGTGATGACACACGCCGCACCCCGGGCACGGACCAACGTGTAACTAAGAAAAACAAACCCAGACTCTCTGCGTCCTCTCTGCTATTTGTCGTGCAGGTGCGAGGACGCCCTGCGCAAGAATAAAGCCCTGATCGGGCCGGACCAGAAGGAGTACCACCGAGAGCTGGAGAGGAACTACCACAAACTGAAAGAAGCTTTGGGTCCTCTCATCAACCGCAAGATCCCCCAGCTGTACAGAACGCTGCCAGCTCCGGCCACACAAACACAACGGTAATCTGAGCCATTAACACAAGGACACACAAAATGAGCTCATACTTTTTCTCGAAATGCAACAATAGAGAAACATAAAACCAAATGTAAAACCACGTACTCACCCTGCTGCAGTTCTTGATAAAACTTGGTGAACTGATTACAGAACTAAAGCTTGTTTGACTCTGGAAATTATCACCATATGTTTTTTTGTTGTTGTTTGTTTTTCATCATCCTGTGGCTGAAGGTTTGTGTTTACATGTGAGAGTCAGTGGACCAAACAGAGCTGGAGACAGTGGTAGAATGATGTTACAGGGCAATAGAAAATACAAATGTATCAATTATTTGATTGAGCAAACTTCCAAATACACGCTGAAATATTTAGCTGTGGGTAAACTTATTGTTCTGCTGGTTTCTTATATAWTAATGTGAACTCTATGAAGGGTTCACATTATAGAGATGATCCATTTTTCTTCCATCTGTTTTTCATCATGTATCTCCTTTCACACATTCATGTATCAAAACATTTAGCTTCTTCAGGACATTCCGGTTATGACTCTTGGTATTTCAGGAATTTATACCTTTTTTTTTTTTTTAGATATTTAGTCTTTTCGACCATTTTTGTWATCATTTAAAATTGAATAGAACTGCCTTCAACATCCTTAAACTAAATAGTTCAACCTTTTCTACACTTTTCACCATTTATTCTGGATCTGCTTTTTTAATCTTTGTGCTATTTTGTTTACCTGCAGTTTTTTTTATAGAAATGTTAGCTTTTTTGTGTTTTTCAGCTATATTTCTGCTATTTTAGTTCATTTTTGTGCTGCTATCAGCTTCTTTCTGTTAAATTAAGCTTTTTATGCTATTTTCAGTTGTTTTCTGCAATTTTTTTGCTACATATTTAGTGAATTTTAGCCTTTTTTGGCTAATTTACATGAAATTGCAACATTTTCTGCATTTTTTCTGCAAAAATTGTTCAGAATTAAGCATTCATGCTGCATTCTCGCAGAAAATGCCAATTATTTAGTATTTCAAGTGTTGTTTCCTAAAAAAAATTAAAAATCAAAAGCATTCCTTGAAAAAAAATAAATCACTTCACCTGCCACCTTTCATGACAGTTTTAAACTAAGATCATCTTATGTTGAGAACCGATTGAGTTGTAGTCTTTTTGATCCAACTTTAGAAATAACTTCATTGGAATTTTTTCAGTGGTTCATGAGATATTTCGCTAACAAAAACAGTAGTCTCTGCTACTACCACTCCATATCTAAACACAACATCAGTAAAATTGCCSATTATAGCAGTGATTCGTGAGGTATTTTGCTAACAATACACAGAAACACGAGCAAAATTACTCTTTCACATTCAAAGGCGAGTGATAAAAGGAGCATTTCCCCATGCCAAACTAATACTGTAATATTAATTTTACAGAGAAAAAAAGAAACCTTTAGTAACTGTCTCATTCTGCCTCACAGAAACTCCTACACCAGGTCCAGTTTCCGCAGAGTCGACTGCTGAGGAGCGGAAAACTGGAAATCCCAAAACGGCAAGCTGTAAAAACGATCACATCTCATCCATTCTTATCGCTCCCCCCTCCCCCGCCACTACACACCAGCTGTCTCTCTCACACACACACCACCCTCTTCCTCGTTATTTTACCCCCTCTCCCCCCCCCTCCACCTGCCCAGCCTCCCAGTCAAGCCTCAATCCCACCCAGCACCACCACACACACGCAGACACACACTGCTAGTTGTCACCTCTTTCCCTGCTGAACCATCGCCACCAGTCTCACACCTCTGTTAGAAAAAAAAAAAACAATCTCAGCTGTTTACACTGGAAGGGTATCTGCTCTGTAAACATTGTCATTTGGTTGTGAGGCTCTTCAGATGCCAGAAAGCTTTCCAAAGTAATCCACTCACTGAACTGACGACCCAAAGTAATCTGTTTGAGCTCAATCTGGCTACAACAGTCGTTTTTCTTTACCAGACTGCAGCAACCAAACATGTTGTGATCCAATTCCAAGCAGCCTGTTTGGTGTCATGACGTGTTTTTTTTTTGTAAAAAATTTTTTTAAGCTAACTCTGGTAATAGCCACGACCAAAGTTTAAAGTTTTGTGTTGCGATGAGCTTTCGTTTGTTGTAAGCAGACCAAATAACTGACATTCCTCCCTTCTCGAGTTGTAACATTTATCTGCTCTCGTCTCTCGTTAGGATATTTCAAKAGGTCTCGTTCTGTGCAAGCTCCGRTCTCAGGCTTGTAAATAAGGAAAATGCCAGAATCGAGGTGTTTAAATGTTTGTTTTTTTCTTTTTAGCTTTTAAACTGTGAAATTCTGTGTAATGCACTGCAAACTCATTAGATGTTTATTGCAGAAACACTGCCGTCAGTCAAACAAACATCTTTAAACTCTAGTATCATCCTGAAGTACTGAATATGCTTAGACAGTGAGATCTGTGCTGTTATAAAGCACCCTACATGTTCATTTAATGCCCATCTCTGTTTATCAAAGATTTCTTTGTTTTTATAGGCCTTCCCTACTACTGTATGCATTAAATTGCACTGTTATATAAAAAAACTGGCACACTAACTCTGTAATAATGAAACTATACTGTTTGCCCTTTTATTTTATGCATTTATGATGAAAACTGTTTTTTTTACCATTTAGTTTTTTATTTATTTACCTTGTCTTCTATTAAAACGTTCTTTCTACAGATCTGACTCCTCTTTATTTGTAGCATTTTGCAACTGAAAGGTACTCAAGTTATTTAATTCTTATTTTACTGTTGATTTTATAGGTTTAATGAAATTACTGATTGTTTTTAAATGTTTTGTGTACCTTTAATTTGAGATTGTAACTAACTCGTTTTTAAATGTGTTAACATAAAACCTACAATGAGTTGCATTATTTTAATTTCAATATAAATTTCAATCTTCAAGCAGGTTTTATGGTTCTGGATGTATTATATTTAGTGGGTTTTTTATTTTTATTTTTATTTTATTTTATTTTTTTCAAAGACTGCAGACCCCTTGTTTCTGTAAGAGGTCCAGTGCCTGAACTTTGGGGCTTATGTCCATTTGGGGCAGTGTTGCCAGATATGCAGTGGTTTTGATATTTATAATTTGTGTCAAATCATTAAAAATGTCAGTTAGTTCAGTGTTTCCCAAACTTCTTATCTTCTGACCCACAAAATGTCCATGGCAAAAACTTGTGACCCCAAATATTACTGGTCTGAGTACATGAACTTCATTAATAACCCCAAAAACACAGGCTTTTGACAATGTAAACAGCTTGTACACAAATATAAATACTTATTTATACTTATTTTGTGTTTTTGTAATATTTATAGAGAAAATATTACATCAGCAATTATTTTATTACCCTTTAAATTGATTTCTGGAGATTATCCAAGGTGCTTCATGACCCATAATTGGGTCCCAAGCCCAACTTTGGGAACCAAAGTTCAGTGGTTCTGAAACTTTTCAGCTTTTGACCCACAAAATAACAGTAGCAGAGACCTGTGCCCCCAACTATTTTTGGATGATAAACATTTTTATAAGGTTAACTA